GGCCCCCATCATGTGAACCACCGCTCCGCCTGATGGACATCTCTAGGTGTCTGGGGTCAGCAGCCAGGCTCAGGGAATTGTTGCCACTGCCAGAGACACCAATAGCTACATGTCTTCAATGTTGGTGGCACTGGGAAGCATCAGGACTGCTGGGGTGGAATAGCAGTGTTATGGGACAGAAGAGCGTATTTATGCATATGCATCAGGGGTACCATTTGCAGAGGATTTACTGCCAGTTTGCCTAGTATTACCTGAACATGTCAATCCTTTGGGCTACTGTTCAGTACAGTAGGTACTTCAGGTTGCTCCTACTCATCAGAGCATTTCAGCACACTCCTGGCTTGTTGCATGCATTGATGACTCACAGATTTCAATGGGATTTGTTGCATTTGTAGCTGGATAAGGCTAGAGTGGTGAATTGTGGTACTACATCTATAAAATGAACCTTCAAAATGCAGCATGACAGGCTGGCAGGAATCTGGGTTTTAGTCGTACAACACTGCAATGCGGGAAAGTCTACCCTTTGTCTCTCTGGCTTCAGCTGTGTTATAAACAGTCAGGATGCATAATAATGTCCAGTTCCCACAATCCTATTAGGGTCTTGCAGAGTCACCTTCAGCATCTGATCTGGGGCTTGGCTTGGTTTCCCTGTTTCACAGAACTAAAGGTGCAGAAGGGACCTTAGATGATCACTTACACAGTTCTTGTACCCCAAAGAGGAGACATTTTTCTAATCTGGTCTGAAAGAGGACAGAGATTCCCCATCTCCTCCAGGCAATCCATTTCTGTGCTATGCTATCCTTACTGTTAGGAAATATAGGAAATGTTCAAACTAACCTTTTCTGCTGTAATTTAAGCCCATTATTTCTTATAGTATTGTAATAGTAATATAACGAGTGAGTAATGCCCTATTAGCAGCCTTTTATATATTTGAAGAGCTTGTGCCCTTTAAGTTTTTTCATCTTTAGGATGAAGTGGTGTTCAGCTTGTGGACAGCTTCTTCCAGCTCTGTGACAGCTAATGAAGGAAAGCAAACCTCTGCACTGCAGGCATAGATTCATTGTGCATGAGTCTACACCTCTACTGGAAAAATATCCGTGGTCTGCTAACTGAAAAAGGAGGCAAATTACATAAGCAATTGCTGCATTCTTTTCTCATAGGATGATTATGTTTTATCCTCTGAGCATTCCCTTTATTGTCCTTTGGGCTCTCTCCAGTTCATTGCTATCTTTCTTCAAATGTGGTGCCCAAACCTGGACAGAGTCAGAATTAAACATGATCCTGACAAATTGGGGGTATAATCTGAAAAAACCTTACATTCACCAGGGATGAGTGCCTATACATAATCTAGGGATTCTATAAATCTACAAATAATCTACTTAAAGAAATAGGATGGAGAACAAGTGACTTGACAGCAGTTCTGCAGAATAGGGTTTGGGAGTTACAGCAAAGCATGTTGCCATGAGTCAACAATATGTCATGCACTGAGAATATTAGCAAATATCACAGTGATTTGAATATATGGAAGTACCACCTGCAAATTTTAGTCTGTAAGACGCATGATTCCTTCTGTTCTGTTCAGCAGTGAGAACACCTTCACTTAAACACTGTCCACTTTTGGGAGACTAATGCAAAAAAGCACTTTCAACACTTCAGCTGACAGATTTTTCCTTCTGTTGAGCAGAAGAAAAACACTTTTCTGTGCCTGCCTCTCATTAGTAATGTACTTAGAATAACTTCTTGTTACTTCTTGTTTTGTGCTGTGACCTTTCTGATTTTATCCCTACATGTTTGTGCTCATGTGCTTGACCTTAGTATGCCAGTCTTGTTTCCTGTGGCTACATTCACTGAAGATCTAATGATTTAGCAATGTTGATCTCTACCTGTACTTCCAGTCTGTTCTCCAAAATAGGACAGTTTGCCTTTGTGCCCTTAGTATTTTTTTAAGGAAACACTTGGTCTTTTAAACTTCTTTATCCAGCGTCCCAGGAGACCTCACTTACCAGTTCTCTCAATTAACTGAAGTCTGAAATACAATTCCTCCCTTCTAACCCAAGAATAGCTAATACTGTCTTGAAACCCTCTTCCTTACCTCTCTGTCATTGCAATCTGTTCTAGCATCGCAGAACCCGTGTTTGCCTTCCAGTTTCCAGAGATGGACGTCCTCCTAGGAAAACAAACCAAAAACATAACCTGAACATGAAAATACACTCCTGCCCCATCCTCCCTCATACTGTAGTCCTCATTCTTGACTCAGTGCTTGTACAGGAGGGGATGAGGCGAGGTTCTTCCTCACAGAAGCCTTTCCAAATCCTGCCTCAACAACACTCCATACAGGATATGTTGTTCAGACTCATGAAAGACTGAATGAGGAGTTAGACAGGGAAACCTCCAAGGAATCTTGAGCACACATCAAGCTCTGTGAGTACTTTCTTTCTTTCTTTATATATAAGTCCCAGGAGACCTGAAATGTCTGTAGAAGATCTCTGGGATAATCACCCTTGTGTTCTCAATCCTCCATCTGTGGAAGAGCAACTGCTAAACATCTGCCTGAGCAGCTTCACAAATGTCAGCCATGACATTGTGGGTCTCCCTAACTTTGACTTCAATTGTGCTGGAGTCATAGAAAATATGATTATACCTTCTTTTCACTCACTTTTCATTGACCTGTCTGTGGCTCACAGTATCCGGACTTGGAGAATTTATAACTGCAAAATGGTTGGAGTCTCGTTAGCTGCAACTGATGGTTAATTTCCAGAAAAGGTACTGTTGCTGGCAAATCCTGGGTTTCATCATCGTCCATCAAGGGGTGAAAAAATTTCCTTTTCTTGACCTTAGGCACAGGGCAGACCTTGGACAGCCTGCTGCAACAATATTGCACAGATAACCCTGGCATAGTGTACAAGCTAGGACAAGTCAACAAGCTGACAGGATATATCCAGGGAGCATCTCCACATTGAAGGAGATTTAGGTAGAGATTTAGGAGGGGAGTATGAGGTGTGATCGAGCACTTCAACATGAGGTTGTGGGAACCCTCCATGCCAGTTCTCTCACCTTTTCAGCATGATGTGGAAAAGAGACTCTGAACTTGCAAAACTACGTGGAGCAGTGGTAATACTGATGTCCTGCTAGACTGTAAAACTGGATCATTATAGTTGACTACCTAAGGTTCCCCTTCACTCTGGTGAGGGACAGCCTGGTGTCCTTTTTCCATTTCTCTTCTAAAGTGGTATGTATAGTTGCTGTGAAATTTAAATGGTCTTTGTAGCCCATATTTAAAGGAGTGGAAGGGGGGCCAAAGGAACATGATTACTGTGTTGAGTAACTGTGTTTCCATATAGTTGACTCTTGTTCTTTGTTCCCTTCATGCAATGTCCATCTTCCTGCCCTACTTTCTAAGCAAAGGTATGGATTCCTCCTCAAGCTTTGATTGTTATGAGCCCTTTGATGGCCTGTAAGGTCAGTATTCAACCCTCAGCCTCTTTTTTTTCTTTTGACATGGGATTCTTAGGATTATGTTTTTCAGTTCTGCAATGGGAAGAACCATTCTTTATTAACATCTAGGTTCAGAAAATTGTCCTGCAGTGGCAGATGGTATCAAAAATCCCATTAGTACTGATGAGAACTCCTGGAGTCTGATTGGTGACAAGATGATTGTATATCAGTGTTTAGAAAATGTACCTGGCATACCAAATGTAAGCAGCTGTGTCGTGCCTAAGAAAACCAAGCCACAGCTATGCAGTTTTGCAAGGACATTTGATGTGGGAAAGCTCCCAGAATAAGAACTCTGCTTTGGCTATTGGGCTGATTGGTTTGACTTGTTTATACCTACCCATCTCCAGCCAATATTGGGCATAAGATGTAAAATATTTGTCTCAGCTGTATCCCTAACTTTCCTGTTAGGGAACTTCCCTGTTTTTAAATGGAAAAGCTTCATTTGAAGCCCTCCTGACCAGTCACCAAATTCCTACACCACAGCCTTTGTCAAGATCACTCTTCCAAGCATGTCTGAGAGTTCAGGTGTCAAGTGTGCCACCAAATTCTTCTTTTTTTTTTTCTTTCCCTTTTCATCTTCAACCTGAGGTGGAAAAGGAGACTGAAAACACAGATCTTTTTTTTTTTTCCCTAAGAATGCCCTGCCTCAAACACCATTTCTCTCAGGGACTCAAAGTCAAAGTGCTTCCAATCATCCTAAACATCAGGGGGTGCATCAGTGTATGGTCAGCATCTTAAAGGAAAGGACCCCAAGGTTTTAGAGATCAGTAAATTAAGCCGATTTGCGTCCGACACAACTTTGGCATTGCTTAGGGTAAGTGGATAGACTAGCAGATCATGGGCTGTTGGCACCCTATATTCACCATCTCCCAGGCCATTTCAGTCTAAAAGTACCTGTAGTTTACACACAGTTGAAGTTGTAGGCCCTGCAAAGCATATTGAATGACATTTGAGGTGACAAAATCAGAAGTCACACTCATGAAACTAGAAAGGAAAGGATATTACCCTCTTACTAAGAGCTGATGGCAAGGAATATCCCACCCCTGAAAGTCAGCAGCTGCTGGCTTCATGCAAAGTGAACATTTCATGAGTCTTAACTGGAAATGATCCCTCTGTTTGCCCCCAGTTGGGGTGAGGGTGGAAGTATAATTTCTTCCCCAATTTCCCCTGCCACATGAGCATTATTTGTGTTTTCTCTTCACCAGTATTACAATGACAGACAAATATATTTGGTGGAATTTTAGGCATGTATCACATGCTGCTTATCTGCTGTTTTGAGACTGGCCCAAGGCATGGACTAAGTAGGTGTTTGTTAGCAGTGTAAATCTGGAGTCACTGCACTGAAGTCAATGGGAAACTGAACTCAAGCCTTGGGTCATGGGCTGGAAGGAAGTGCATTGAACATCTGAGGCAGGGAGGAATGCATGAGTCACCCTGCCGCATCCTCCCTCTGGCAGATGCTTGGTGCAAAGTAAACATATTCTGGAGAATTTCGGTACACAGTCTTTTCTCAGAAGGAAGGGGGCTTTTAAAGTCTATATGTGTGGGTGAAGGTATAAAAATACTGGGTAGATTCCATGGCTCACAGATCAAAGCAATTCACTTAGTATGATGCTACTGCAGATGCTGTAATTGCCTTTAAGGCTGAGATTTGCTAGCATGACTAGTGACTAATGATTTTGAGTCTCCTATTTGAGACACCAGTGAGTGTTCTGATATTTTGGATGCTTTTACCTCTGTCCTTGGACATAGTAGGGACTTATACCATAGAAATAACTTTCTGTCTGATGCTGGGACAGAAGGAACAGCCCCTGATGGGACTGACTATACCACTCTCCGAAGCTCATGTCCATAAATGGTTCTCTCAATATAAGTCAACCTGCTGGGTTAGCAAGTTGCTGGGTGAATTTTGCTGCTTGCTTTCTTTGCTAATAAGCTTCATTTCTTATTAAGGTGTTTCCTGTTCATGGCTGTTTTCATGTGAAAACATTTTTCATTTAGCAAACAATTGTTTGCGCAGCTATAGTCTCAAGTGGGATTAGCTCTTAGTGTGACTGCTTTCTTTCCTCAATCATCTGGTATTATTTCTGATCCCTGTCTGGATGAGTGCGTGGTGAGTGTGAATAATAAACGGGGAGAGGATATGGTCAGGCTAACTGGGCTTTTGTTTCACTTGGAGGCAGGCTGGGAGCAGGCTCTGGAGCCAAGGCTGGGTAGGTTGGCAGGAATAGGGAATTTTTATTGATATTTTAAACCTTCCTTCCTTTGGCCAATTTGAGCCAGACTCCCTGAGATGTTAATGTAATATTAGGCAACTGTGCGATTGTTGACCCGATCAGATTTAAAACAAATTTTCTCTCAATGAGCTCTCATGAAGTAGCCAAGTGTCCCACAAGTCCTTCCCATGAAGAATATGACTCAGTCATTATCTAGTTTACTTAAATACCTTTGTGCTAGGAATCCAACTGGGAATTCTAGGCAGCTATAGCTGAAAAATATGTGATCATGTACATTTGATTATCTTATTTAACTATGTTTCACCAGAACTGTGGCCTGGGGGTTTGCAAACATGGACCCAAAACTCACAGTGTTGTGGGTGTTGGGTAACGTATGAAATTTATTTGGTGACCTGAAGAATGTGCTGCTGGAGCTGTCTACTTGTCCAGAATTTTGTGGCTGGATAAGGAGCTTCTGGAGAAGCTGTGCTATTTGGCTTTTCTCATCTACTGATTTGCAGTAAGAAGAAACAGGTGTCTTACTGACTCATGTGGTTACATCTTTAATTGAGCTTGACGACTACTGAAGTTTGGCTGAACACTTTTTAAAATATTTAAACATACCAGTGTTGAGGGTTGCCTTCATGCCACCTCCCTCACTACCTCATGGGGCAGGGAGGAGCTTTGAGGCACCCACATAAATGTTTCTCCTCCTTTCCCACCTTTGTACTCTTCAAGGAGCATACACGCAAAATGCCCATGGAAACCCTGCATGCTGGCCAGGCTGAGGCCGTTCCTACGTGGTGCCGTGTGCTCCTCATGCTCTTGTGTGATTGTGGTGCCGTGTTCTCCAGATGGGGAGAGGATGGGGTGCTGCTGTGGGTTGGAGACTGTAGGACTCCATGAGTTGCAGCTGGCTCAATCTTTTTTATTGTTTCTCCCAGGTGGGAAGGGGGTGCGTTCAGTTCCCACTAGAAGGTACTGGGAGCTGGAGGATTTTGCTGGGAAAGATGAGCCCTTCACAACAGGGGTGAGAGGTGATAGGTGGTGGCAGAGCACAGTTGTTATAGTAGGAACTAACTGAATCCCAGAAACAGGTAGAGAGAAATTTACCTTCCAGAAACAATGAGCTGATGGTGAGTAATGGAGAAGATAATCAGTGGATGAGGGATCTGAGTTCAGAGGTGGGAGGAGAACAGCAGGGCTATTCTTCAAGGAAATTAAGTCAGCTTCTTACTCCTGCCCAGAGCAGACACTGACTGAATCACATCCATAGCACTGTCTCCCCCCGTCTCGCTCCGGCATAGTCATGCACTCACATGTAAGCCTTGTAGTTGCTGCCGATTTTCTGGATTCGGATGTCGTACTTGGAGTCAATGAACGGCTCAGCGGTGGCATAGGTTTTTGCCATGGCTACTATGCTGGCCATGTCCCGGAAGTCGTGCTGGTTCTCAACTTTGACCTTGATTGCCAAAATCCAGTGAAAAAGTGACAAGAGCAAAAAGAACGGGAATACTTTGTGAGCAGAAGTCATCTCTGCACCTGAATAGCACAATGTCAGTTAAAAACCACACAGACGGAGCTGAGGACAGAGCAGGGATTGTGTGCTTTAAAGAGAGAAGTTCCCCAGACCAACCCAGCCCAGAGCAAATCGACCCCTTTCCCCTTTCTCATGCACAAGCCCTGGGAAACCTGGCACCAAGGAGACAGCTAGACCTTTGCCCAGATGGCTCTTGCTAATGCTCTTTGCTTTTATGATGCTTCAGAAAAATATTTGATCTCTTAAGGGGCATTACTGCATTCAAACATTGGAACTGCTATTTCCCATGTTGGGATGGATGAAAACAGAGTATTTTGGGTGGTCAGGAAATAGGAACCAATGCCAGGAAATCAACAAGAGAGCTGGTTGTCTGCCACCTCTAGGCTTCAGTTCCCTGGCATTTCACATTAACCCCCCTCCAGGCTTTCTTTGAGGAGCAGTGCAGGTCTCCTGGCTGGAAGCAAGCTCTGAAGGAAAAGGATGTCTCTGGGGGAGCCTGTGATTCTTGGGGAGATTTGTGTGAGCGTGATGCCATGGAAGCATGTGTGGGACAGCTGGTTGGGTGCGAGACTTGAGTTGTACTTGGAAATGAGAGTGCAGTGGCCTATGAGCTGGAGATATTCTGAGAAGCTGGCTGGATTTGTATTCGGTTATGAGAAATGCTCTGATGAAAGAAGGACCAAAACAGTGGAAGCTCTAATGATACGATCAAATCTCTGCAAAAGCTAATTGGTTTGGCAGAGGAAAACTGAACAAGCAGGTAGTAAGAACATAGTGGACAACTTCACCTCGTTCATACTATTGACCCAGCCTTTAGTCTATTGGCAAAAACCTGCTTGGTACATCAGAGGAATCCATGCAATTCTTGTTGCTTAGAGCTGGATGGATGCAGGAAGGGTGGGTTAATTGGTGGAAGAAAGACCAACATTGTGTGAAAAGGGTGAGCAAGCAAGTGACTTTCTTTATATATTACCTACACTTTGTACCTTGGTAACACTTTGATACCACAGTTGGGGGTTATAGCCCCGCTTTGCTAAGTGTCGACTTGCTCGTGACAACCGGTCAGTCTCTGCCCCAGAAAAGTTTCCCAGTTGTGTCATTGTGTGTGTTAAGGGAGGGTGATGCCAGACTATGTGGAGCCGGCTGAAGGAAATGCGTGCAATGGTATTTGGTGTTTCTTCGCAAAGAACAAACAAGTGGCTTTACATATCTGCCTTCAACCATGAGAGGGCAGGAGCCATCTTCGCTAGAGAACAGAGGACAAGCTTGTTTCTAACCTGTTTTATTCTGTTTAGATGGTTTTCTATAGGCGCCAGCCGTAACAGAAGCCAAAGATACAGCCACATCCTGGTGCAGAAAAGCTCTTGAGAACTGGACAGGTTGTGGGGAAGGTGAAAAGTGCAACTAGTTTGACCCGTGACCATTTCTAGATGCTTGAATAAGAAGAAAAGAGGCCTGGTCCTTCCTCCTCCTTTTGCTGAATGCCAAACACCCCTAGTCCTCTTCCCTTTTGTCATAGTGAGGGCTGTGCTCTCGCTATTCAGGGACTGCTGAGAAAAGGAGCAGAGGAAGACGACAGTCGTCTGTGGGGTGGGAGGGTAGGAAAAAAAAAAGGAAATAACAAACACAAAGGGGAAATGTAAAGGCAACCATTACACGTCATCCAGGAGGAACAGCCTTGCTCTGGGCTGTGTTGTTCCCCTCTATGTCTGAGTGCGGTGCCGGCTGCTCCTGGTGTGGCAGGGCAGGGTGAGGCAGTAGGAAAGGCCTGGAGGCAGCGAGGGGAGCAGGAGAGGGGAGCACCACGCACAGGGGGAGCCCCCAGCCTGGGCACAGCTTGCAAAATCCCAGGGGGGTTTTGCTGCATCGGGCCTGGGTATTTTTGTTGCACTGATAAGAGCAGCACTGGGCTGAATGACGTCAAGTGAGAAAGTCCCACCCAGATGAGATGATCGCAGGAGGGACTGCACGGGCAGGCGATGCATGGTGTTACGACATATTCTCCCGGATCTTTTTGGCAATGGGAAAAGACAAAAGCCATTATATAATGACCTACTTGGAACAAGGGCATTTGTGGGATCTGAAACAAAAGGTGCTGCGCTTGTGCAACAGATGTCTTTGGGCCCCGGCTGAAACGTTTGCATTCCCAGCCCAGGAACATTCATCCCAGAGGCAGAGGAACGGATGCTGCTACCATCTCCAGATTGGAATTAGACCATATTATTATTGCTAGAAAGGAGCTATATGCTCATCTTGTTAAATGGGATTTTTTCTCAAAAATACAGCATGCTATGGAAAGGTCCATTTCTTCCTCTTCTCCATCACTCCCTCCCTGTGGGGAGAGAGGGAAAGCACTTGAAGGTGTTTTCTCCAATGGGGCTGAGGATTTTTGGCTGGGTAAATAGTTAAATAGGGGGGACTCAACAAGGACACAAAGTAAAAAATGAAAAACAAAGAAGTTGACTCCCACAGTGCTACACCACTGCACAGTCCTCAGGAAACAGCTCTGTCATCTTCCCTGGTCCGTGCCAGAGCCCTTCCTGTGGACTTTTCGGAGAAAGCACTTCACAGGGGTCCCCTTTTAGGAGATCACAGCCTTATTTCCCACCAGGCATCAAAATAGTCATCACACCAAAGCTGAAATCTGAGCCACCGTTTGTTAATCTTTAGAGCTGGCCAAATTTGACAAAATAATAGCCGTGTCCTGGGTTAATGCTGGTTCAGTCCAGCGTATGGTTATTACTTCATAAACAGGAAGCACTCGAGTTACAGTCAAATTAGATTTATTTTCCTGCCTTATCTATCAAGTCCACCATTTTATTAGCTTTCTACTTTTAAATTTTGTATAATTAATTTCCTCCTGCTTTGTAATCCTTTTACATGTCAATAAAATATCCATTCTCCTAACAGGAGAAAAAACCCTAGAGATAACCAAAGCCAGGGTGCATGTAGTGTGACGCCAGAGGGCATTATTTAAGAAGGGACTACTAAAAATCATTCTAGAGCAAACAGTTACCCATTTACCTAATAAGGGATAAATCTCTCTTCTAAAACAGCAGGTTGGCCAATGCATGAAACTGATAAAAGAAGCTGGAAAGAGATCAACAGCAAGCAATTTTTTTTTCTCTCTCTCTTTTATTTTTTTGCAACCTTCTTAGGATAAATGCAATATCCCATTAGCTGCGTAGAGGAGTGCAAACAGCGAGTGCAAACACAGCCCCTGCCCTGGTGGCCTGTTTGCTTAGCTGTGCAGGCTGTTTGAGCAGCAATAGACTCATTCTGGAGCCATCAGCTGCTGTTTGCTGTAGCATTTTAGTGACCTGTTGTGAAGAGTTTGGGCCAGTGTGTTGACAAATGCCTTTTCTGAATAAGAAATCTCCCCAGGAGAGTCCCTGCTTCCCTTCTGGCTCTCTTCTCTAACTGGGACACCAGCCATGCCCTAGCACACTCCCTGTTGCTGCAGTGGAGGGGGGAGTCTGGCCAGACCCCTGCGGACATGTTCACACAGATGTGACTGTCCCTTTGCGCAGTGGTGGCATCTCAGAGGCTGATACTACGTGACCTGCAGCTGGTGCATGATCCCATCCTCAGCCTGCCCAAGAGGCACTGATCTTGCTGCCCTTGGCTGGAGAGCAGTCTGAGGGACAGATCAGGAACAAACACTTCTGCCCCATCCCTGCTGTGGACCTTCATTTGAGGCCTTCCTGCAAGACAGGATTTTGAAGAGTGGGTCCTGGCATTGTTAAAAACTCACCGTGGATATTTCCCAGGCAGCCTGAGCCACCCCTGAGACCTGCATGAGCACAGGTTCCTGCAGTGAAGGACCTGGGCAGAAATTTCTTCTTCCTCTGTCTCGTAGTTCCTGAATCTACTGCCTCTTGCATATCCCAGATGTTCCTGGACACCAGGGTCCTAGGGCTACAGCACTTCTCTCTCATCTTTAGCCTAAGCACTGCAAGGTATTGCCTCACAGTCCTCTTTTGCTTTCAATTAGTTACATGGCCACATGAAAAAATAGTCAGTCAGCCTAAGTGGTATAATTATAGTAGTCTGTTAGGGCTGCCCTAGCCTTGCCTCTCTGAGTGTCATCCAGAGTTAATTCTGCCTCACAGGTTAAACCCACACTGCTTTGGAGATGGCTTGCAGAAGCAGCTTCTGTGTCCAAGCTGGGGTTAGAGGCAGGTTTCAGCTGGAAGGTAAGTGTTCAAGGCTGAGCCAGGGCCGGGCTTGGCAACGTGGTGTTTAACTGAGTCTTGGTAGGCTTGTAAAAATGTTTGAGTGTTTTCCTCCAGAGGAACTGGCATGGCCACACAAAGCTTGTGATTTTTTCATCCATCTTGACCCACACTTGGGCTTTCTGTAGTGCCTTTGCCATTTTGGGACAGCAGGTCTTCAGGAATGGCTCTGCACAGAGGGTTTCCTGAATCTCTCCTTCCCTGTACCCCAAATTATACTCCCCTTCTCAGAAAATACCCGACCCAACCAACACACATTCAGTTTAGGCCTAACTTTGACCCACCTCAAAATAATAAAGACACAACAAAGTCTGCATTTCCTTATTATCCTCATATTGAAGTTCTCCAGATGTTATGCTGCCTTTAATGCATTAAGCCTTATAATCCTTACTAACTTTCTCATGATGAAGAGCTGCTCTTAGCCCCAGGTCTTGGCAGCTTTGGTCCCTGATGCCCCGGATCAGTCACCATTTTCTTCATCCAGCAAAAGGTTCCAGACTGATGTGCAAGAAATGGGGATACTTTTGCTATTTTCAAGACGGGTGGTACCTCCTCGCTCATGAGTCAGTGGGAATGCGGTGATTGGGCTGCTCTGTTGTGAACGTTACATGTCAAGTCATTATTTGTCCTCTGTAAAAGAAAATATTTGTTCCTTGACAAACTGAGGCAGCCCTTTCCCCTTCCTTTCCTCTTTAGCACACTGGATTTTCAAAGCTCTCACTTTTGGAACATTCTATTTCCAGTCCCGAGAGAGACAAGGTGACGAGCTGTCCTTCCTGATAAAAAGCTTGCAGTATTTTTACATTACAGAGTGGCTCTGTTTAGTTTGTGCTATATTTATACCAGAGGAAAAAAAAAAAAGAGAAGTCTTTCCCATCCAGTAAGAGAGAAAATAACTCTGACCACGTTATTATGAACAACAAGTTTTTCTTCTACAATGTAATAAATTCATCTGAGCCAGGATTTGTACTGAGGAGGTGTTTTCATAATTATGGGGCAGGAGGGGACAGGAGGTGACTCTTAAACTGGCCTAATTAAAGAGGTCTAAAAATAAAGTAAGAGTAACAAAATATATATATACTTATTAAATTCATATAAATATATATAAAGCCACACGAACAGATACTGTTTTTCCTCTCTTTGCAGATCTGGCAGTTGTTTCCTTCTCATGATCTGATCAGGAAGAGGTGAAGAGGCTCTTTGAGTGAATTTGCAGTGCTGGGCTCTGTTCCTAGGGCACTTTAGGGTCATGTTAGCACACAAATGGCAGATATTAACACACTCAGAGCTTTATTCTTTTCCATGGGCTCTGGCATTGTGAGATCCGGAGTCAGGAAGAAGTGTTATTCCTTTCTCACTGTAGTGCTCACCCTATTCAACAGAGACCCCTAACCATGCTTGGGGTAGGTAGGCTCAAACTGCACAATGCCTAAAAATGCCTTAACCTTTAGGAACTGTTGGGTGAATAATAGTTCAGCTCTGCATAGGGAAGGACATCTCTCAGTGTCCATCCATGGTTTCCCAGGAAGAGTCCTTGACTACTGTTGACCCCATGAGCCTGGGCAACTTAAATACAACATGAGAAAGGTCCTTCTCTGCTGACTCCATTGTAAACCACTGTCTAAACAATATTTTTACAGATATTGTATTTGTGTCAATACTGTATTGGACCAGCAGCACACAGAGCATTTGTTATGATCTTCCAGTGCCAGTGAGATATAGAGTGACTCCAAATTTTGGAAGGGGGATAATTATGGTCCTGGGAGGGGCTGAGGGGCATATGTCCTGTTTTTAGATGAGAAGATTGTCTGGGGTCTCTTTGTCTCCCTGGGTGAAGGCTATTCCTGGTGTCTCCATTCAAGTCAACAGAGAGGCTGTTGTTTCTGGATTTCTCAATGGAAATTTCAAAAGATGCCTTTTATTGCAAATTTGTTTTCTTCATCTCCACCTGCACCTTACATGCACGCATCACTTGGCAAGAGCACTTCTATCACTAATTGATACTGCCACCCCTTTTTGTTCTGACCTTGAATACTAACTGTTCCTCTTCCAAACTAAAGACAGTTAATAGAGCCTGTTTCTTACAAGTCCTAACACAGTAATTTTTCATTTTAGCTTTGAGAATTCTCTGTTCAGCCCTCTGATTAATTAATGTGGTGAGTGAATTTTGTGAAAATGTTGTGAAAACAAAGGATATGTGAAAATGAAAGTCTGACTATTATAATTATGCTCTTTCTAGCCATTATTGCAAAAAAATAAACACTCAGCACTTCTTATAGTGCCAAGAGCCTTATGAACATGAATTAGCAATAAGTATCAGGTAATCATTCTAATCCCTCTGGCCTGTAACACAGAGAAATTGAAGAAGAACTGTGAAATGATCTGCAAGTCAGTGGTGGAGCTCTTTGGGGAAGAGGCCTTTTCTGTGTCTGGAGTTTTTCTAGCTCATGGCCACTGCCTCCGTACAAATAAAGAATAACAGTGTCTGGACTTCCCATATTTGCTCATTCTTCTAAGTCTTGGTGCCTCCCATTACATGTGATTTTATCATTAATAACAAGAAAAATGTAAGTACTTCCTTGACAATTTCTGCTGGTAATGAGATTGTAATCTGAATGCTCACATCCTTTGAAGCACCCATTACAGGTACAAGTGCATGGCTTGTTATCTTGGCATCATTTGTTGCAGTAAGTACTATTTTTAATACTCACATGTGTACTTTGGCTAATAGGTTGGTTATTTTATCCTTTGCTTCTTCAGTCACTGCTTTTATATAAAACATGACCTGATGCAGGTGCTTTATTAACATTTGCTTTCTTATACTCATCTAAAGCAAAAGCAAAAGCAAATCTCTCTCTTTCCATATTAAGTATATTTTACAGCTAAAGACCTGCTATTTCCTGCTATCATCTCTACTTCTGAAGACCAATGCAAAGAAATCCTTTAGCTCTCTGTAATCTCCTTATCATCACTGATTATTGCTTTTACATTATGGTGGTTAAAACCACCATTTTGTCTCCTGGACATTTTCCTCTTCTGAATTACTTAATTGGAGGTTTGATTTTTTTTACCTATGGGTGTTACTTTTCTAGTATGCCCAAGTTTTGCTTATCTGTATTTCTCCTGACATTTTCTGTGGTTTCTTTCTGTCAGCCTCACCTGGGCTTGAACCCTATTCTCTTGAAAACAACATGAAACAAATTCCTGTTACTTGTCTTTTAAACCAACTGACTTGTTCTTTATTTTATTTTCACTTTCTCTCTTCTGTTTTTGCTCTATGCAATGAAATGCAGTGGGACTTCAAGAAGACTAATTTAATCAGTCTCAACTTTCCTTCAGGCTGCTTGTGGCTGGAGAAGGGCCCAAACTAAAACCATAAGGTCAACAACCCTTCCTTCCTGTACCTTCCCCATCTACTAAACAGAGCAGTGTTGAAACTCTCTGCCCAAATCCACATCCAGACTTTGCTAGTAGTCCGTAATTTCATAATGGACTAAAGTAAACTTGGCCTCAGACCAACTCTTTCTTCTAAGATGCTGGCTGTCAGCCTATCTTCATCTGGAACGACTTCCTACGTAACCCCCTTGTACCACTGCATACAATTGTGCTTGGAGTTTGAATAGGAACCCTCTTCCCCTGTAACTTGTGACAGCAAAAATCAACATCATTAAAGAATAAAATGGGAGGGAAAGCGAGAGGTGGAAGAAGATGTGGTGTCTGCTGCAGAAAACAACAGCTCAATATTCTGCTGAGAGTTTTGTCTGGAAACACTGTTAAGGTTGGGGTACTTTCCTCTGATTCTGTCCTCATTTCTGTAGCCACTGAGGGTCCTTTTTGCACAAGAGAGACACATGAAGCCATTACAGATGAAATTGCGAGCAGTCAGAGAGATCCAGGATTGCAGGGTCTCAAGGAACTTGAAACCTTTCCTCAGGGAGAGGTTTCTTCCTCCTGGTTTGTCCTGGTTAGATTTTGCTAATGAAATCCTTCCTAGGGACATGTTCAGTGGCTCGCTCTACAAGCAGCTCTAGGCTGTCTGCATGTACTCTAATTCAATGACACCTCTGCCTGTTTAACATATGCAGCACCAATATTTTAATAAACATTTCCTGCTTATTTAAATGTTTGGTTTTTGATGCTGAAAGCCAACTCCACCACTGGCCCAGGGATCTGAGCCCACTTCCTTCCGGCAGCTACCATCCAGACAGGGGAGCATTGCAACCAAAGCAAGAAAGATTATGAGAGCTTCCATGTGCAATCCAGGAAGCCAGAAAGGACTTCTGTTTCCAGAGTGCAAGCAAACAGGCTGTACCAAGTTTAAGTTTGGCATATCTATATATAATTTTCAGGCAAAGTGTGAGGCTGGGAGAAGGTCTAACTGCTCTAGGGAAGCACTGTGACAGGGGTATCAGTTACAAAGTTCTTGTACCACCTATTTGGGTTCAGAGGTGATACATCAGAATTTCTTACTTCTGAACAAATCAAGTTTTAGACAGACAGGGGATGATTTTTTTAAAAGGTATATGCAAGAAAGAGGAGGCTAAAGTGCAGCATGAATGTGCTGGCAATGCCTCCCTGAAAGGGGAGCCGAGTCACCCCAAGAAACAGGGGCTGGTAATTCACTGGAAGAATAAAGATCCCAGAGAGCCTGGGAAAAACAAACAGGTCCTTCTGGGGAGTGAACTGTTTTTCAGGATTCCTTGGCAGGCAACCAGCCACTCTGCTTTGTAAGGTCTTGTTCTTCCTTGCAAGGAAGAAAAAAATAACTGAAGGGCACCCATTTTATTGAATAAGGTCATCATAATGCGCTCAAAAAGACCAGTGCCACTGCTCCTCATTGTGAGAACTATGGGGTGTAGCTGCACATTACAGGTGCTTGAATAAACAACATTACCACTTTCAGGAGAGGAGAAAATATATAAAAGACGAGCCTAATGACTTCAGCCCAGTGAGCTTTTCCCCCACTCTTCACAACCCCCCTTCCCGCATCCCAGACAGCCTCCAACCCAATACGGCTGCCTGTCTCCAAGTGCGTGACAGCGGAAAAAGGCCTTTTCTCCCACAGGAACAGCCAGTGCAACCCAGATAGGCTGTGGGGAGGTTTAACCCCTTCACTGGCTGGCCACACACCGTGTATGATCACAGGAATGCTGTGCCACATATATCTGTTTCCTGAGCTACACGTATTTTTTTCTTTTACTTACCTTCCCCATTCCGGCATGTGCATGTCCCAGCTTGACCACTACAGGGAAATTTGGAGTTGTGAGCTGAAAGACAAAAGAAGGAGCTCCTCATTAGTATTTCGTTCCAGCCATTGAATTTTAAATACTTTACTGTTATTTAGTAGCTTTTATCCCCTTCCTGGATGGTGATGGGAGGATAAAAAGGTCAAATAAAGATCGTCCAGGTGGTAGGACAATAAGCAAATAGCTCTTCATTGGGACCCATAGGATCGGAAATGGAGGCCAGGCAGATTCCTCAGATCTGACCCACTTTTGCTGCCTGATAGCAGTAACCTCTAAAACCTTCTTATTTCTTCTTTTTGCTTTTCCCACCCTGTATGTATGGATGTGTGTACACTCATATTCATGTAAAAAAAGCTGCACCTGCAAGCTTGAGTAAGTGAACATTTTCAGATGCTGAAAACATCTGAATTGTGCGAAAGACAAGGGTTGTTTGTTTTTTTCCACACAGACTGCTTTGGCCTTTAAAGTGAGCGTGAGCAGTCCCTCAGCAGCTCCCATTCTCCTTCCATCAGCAGCGATGGGGGCAAGGAGAGAGGGAACAGGGGCCAACCCTTGGGTACAACTCACAAAGCCCATCTATTCATAAAGCCTCTTCCTCTCTTCTCTAACTTCAGGGGTGGGTACAGGGAATAAAAGAGAACAAAGAAGGGTTGGGATCAGCAATAAAAATAGAAAAAATTATGTCATGTCTTCTCCCTGGCTTGTGTGGTGTTCACATTGGGCAGAGTCCTGCCATCTGAGCCACGCAAGCGCATCTTAATGCACGTGTGGGATTTTACTTGGAGAACTGCAAGTATCCTCTCTGCCTTCTATTCCCCAGTTTCATGCTCATGCAAGGATTCACTTGGAGCAATCGGCTGAGAGCTGGCTGGCTGGACTGGTAGGAAGTGCACATGCCAGCAGGAACGAGGATATATACAGGACGCCTGCCCTACATACTGGTTGGTCCATTTCTATGCCTCTGCTTGACATCCCTGTGATCTTCATTTTGTCCTGTTCTCCTGATTCTTGTGATCTAAATGCTATCCCTTCAGTACATAACCTGTTATTATTTAATTTATTGCATATTTAATTTTCTTTAATAGGAATTCTTTTAAAAGACACTTTTGTCTTCACCCAAATGCCTGAAGTGATGTGCTCTATTCATTAAGCAGTTAACCTGGAGAACTGACAATGGCAGGGAGCTGAATTTTGACAGATAAATGGCTCCCTATTTATTTAAGTTTGAGAACAGATAAACAAATTGTTCTTGTGCTAATTACCAATTGTCTGTATGGACAGGCAGGCGCTACGCCCTAAAGATAGAATGGTGCTGCAGTCTCCATCTGTGGCAGCTTGCTATAAATAACAAAATTAGTAATGAACACTGGTATCTTTTGCTATTCAGCTGCTTATGTAAAGAAATGTCACAGGAGAGGGGAACAGTGAGTGCATCATGTTCTCAAACAACCTCTGTCACTTGTGAGGACTGTCTTCAGACAGAAAGCTGAAGGATCCTCTTTGGACCACAGAAGGGCACACAGCTGCAATAAATCACAGTCCTGGCACAGGCAGGGACCAGCACCTGCTGTTTCAGAAGAAGAGGCAAGAGATTGTGATAGGTGGCCATCCCGAAACCCCAAAGTTAAGCATATGTCCAGGCACTTGAGTTTGTGCTCTATTCCCCCTTCGTCTCTCTAATTCATTGTAAGAGCCTGAAACTTAATTTGCTGCTGGCATAAATGAATCAAATGGAGGACTGCACCTGAGGCTTGCTGAAGATAGGGGTATGGATGGACTGTGCCAGGCCTTTAATTCTGGAAGATGAAAAGTAACCTAGCAGTTAGGGCACCCACCTGCTCAGGCTCTGGGAGACCTGGCTCAATTCCCAGCTCTGTCATCCATGCCCCATGCACACTGTTTGAGCCAAAGTGCTTGCAAGCCCTGGCCTCTCTTCCCTGTTTGTGAGCGGAGGTGGCAGCTGTTCCTACCGCACAGGAAAAGCAAGCTGCATGCTGCAAGCCGGCCTGATACCCTGGCAAAGAGGCCAAAGAAGTGTGCAGGATAGATAATGTTATATCACCAGCTCAAAGCAGCCAGAGGCAGGAAGCGATGTCTCTGCTGCCCCGTTTGTGTACCCTACCTGCGGGTTTTGCTGAGGGAGCCTGGCTCGAGCATGGGGCCCGGGAGTGGGAAGCATCTGTTTTCCTGTGTACATGCAAATAAAGTTTGGGATCCAATACACAACCCAAGTTTACTGCTAGCCTGGAAGAAACCACCGGCAATGACAACACTCTGCTCAAACCTCTCCCTTTGTCTTTGCTTCTTGGAAACACAAGCTCAGCTTTCTTGGTAAGGCTTGGCTTCATCCTGCGTAGGGTTGACCAGCTGGTGCCAGAGCACATTGGAGTCACAAGCCACTTGGGCTGGCCATAGTGCGTGGGGCTTGGGGTGAAACACAGATCCAGGCTCTGACTATGTGGAAGCCTTGCTGGGAAAGCTGCAGCTCCAGGGAAACGCTGGTGCATGGTTTGCCAGGAGTCTGCTTCTGCCACTGAAACCCCATCAAATTTCCATGTACATGAACCTGCCTTATGCAGGGACCAATGAAAGAGAGCAGCACATACACTTAGCTGCATTTTATAGTGGGTTTATCTAGTGACAACGGAGTGCCTTTAGTCTGTGCTGAAGTTAAGTGGAATCAAAAGCTCTCAATAGCCCACAGGACTAAAGCAACCAGAGTCCACAACCACCCAACAATGGAGCTAGGAAGCCCTTGCTGAAGTGGTGGAAGCGAGCTGAACTCCAGTGCAGCCAAGGGAGATATTGCCATCTCCCACCAGCGTCTTGTTGGGACTCAAGTCCCATTTCTGTTGCTAATAAGGTGGCCAGCCAGCATACTTGGCAAGCACCCAGATGGATAGGGAAGCCGAAGGAAGGGAGAATGCATTGTATACGCCAACTATGAGGCAATTCACACACATACATGGTGAGAAGTTCCGGTGATGGCCACAGCCACCACAAGGGCAGACCCCCGAGATGAGTATTTACACATACTTAGTCATAGATTTGCTGGGAAAAAGATGCTTGTAATCAAAGGATAGCACCAGAGTTTAATAAGAAAAGCATGTTTTTACTGAAATCATGCAAAGAAATAAGTCTGTGTCTTTCTATGTGTGTGTTTGTGTGTTGTAAGGGCTCTTTTTTCTTGGAAAAATGAAGAAAAACACTTTGATGCTTTTAAAATGTGCATGAACTGTTGACAGGGCTGGTATAGATGATGTCTGTGGGTTTTGGGATGGGACTGTGGTACTGAAGCTATCTCAGTGATCAGACGCAGGGTGATAGTTCATATGCATAACTCGAACCTTTGAATTAGAATCCTATAAATGTATTCCCAGATGTTGTCACACAGAAGTCTTGAGATGGCAAGGTTTACATATGTGTCTAGAACTTGGTGTAAGATGATGCTTGTTTAGCATCAAGCAGGAGTTTGAATCCCGAATTAGGAACTCAGCAAAGCCATCTTTGGCAGGAGTGAAGTTATTTCCAAGTTACCACACTGGTGGCCCGAAGTATATCATTTTAGTCCCTCATTTGAAGGGCTCTGCTCTGTGTGTAGTATCACTGCAAAGATCACTTTGCAGTTAATCAGCATTTTGACACTGGTGTGTAAAAGTGAGTGCCGGTATGCATACATTAGCCTCTATTTGAAAACACATGGCTGTAAACTATGACACCTTCCTCTTCACCATCTGCTCATCCTGTCCAACAAATAATGAAGTTTTCAATACTTCTTGTAAATATATGACTATTTTCTGCATTTACTGCTGGTGGAGCAGTAGAACAGAGTTGGATATAAATTGATCTGAAGGGAGGAATCTTAGATGAAACATGATCTATCCCATAAATACAGTTCTTTCCACTCTTTTGTTTCATCGATGCCCTCAAGAGAGATGCTGATCTTAGGTCTGTGTTTTGTGTACTGTCCTGTAGTCCATAAACAACGCAGAATGTCTCTTTTGATTTCCTTCTGCCATGTTTAGTTTTGTGCATTAGTTCATATTATCCATCTCATCTCATCTCATACAATGCACTTCCAGTTTCCAGTATTATTCTTTCTTTTGCAAAGCCTTTCCAGTCAATGCTAAAATGAATACTCCAAGGTGCAATGACATCATCGATAATATTAGGAAGGATCTGGGGAGATGGGAGATGAAGACATTAAAACTTTGGTCTCTTGGCACCAGTATTGTATTACCATAGTGTCTAGTGTTTTCGATCAGGCCAGAAGGCCCCATAGCACAAGGTACTATAATTTTTGCTTCACCCTTCCCCCAGAAGTAATACTGTGAATTTTTCAAGGTTTTATACTCTAAAACTGACCTTTCTGTTTATTTAGCTGCCTTTACTTGTATGATGACAAAGTCTGTTCTGGGTGGGTACCTAATGGGTTATGGGAATGTTGTTCATGCACTTGAGAGCTAAATGTTGAAAGTAATGTGTGTGGCACTTTCCTGGTGTCAATTAAGTTGGAAGAGCAGTGAATACATATGATTTCCTGAAAAAGCAAGCAAGCTGATTCAAACCTACAGGAAAGTAATGATGTCATGACACGATGTCATTGTGTTTATGGAACTATTTTACTGAAAATCTGAGCTGAAGATCAGCACTGGTTGCACGCCAGCCTTGCCAGGCAAGGCAAAGTCGGGGCTGTGTAGTGAAATACGGAGGAGAAGCAGTAGTTCTCCCTATCATTCACTTACTCATGAGTCAATGTAATCACCAACTGCATGCAGCATGGTTCACTCCGTGGATTAATACTGTGGCCCCATGGAGGTCTGTGGTGGCCAGTGACTATGACAGACAAGTCCTTCCCCTCTGCTGTTTACCAGATCAGAAATAGTGTAAGAAACAACAAGCAACAATGGGACAACATGTTGAACAATACGAGTTGCCAGCATTAACGTCTGTGCTCTATTAAAGACACGTGATACCAATTCCTTTAAAACACACACGTGTGTATTCATTACTGTATTATA